TTTCTGGAACTACACATTGTCTAGAATCTGGAAAACTTAGTGTTAAGCAAAGCTGTACTGTAACTCAAATGTCTTTCTTCATACACGTACTTACCACTTTAGCATGGGGTATCATGTAAGAGAGTATTTCTCTTGGATTGATACCGAGAGTCATCTGCCGCTGAACCCAACCCATTGGACCTAATATAACACCATGAAATAACCATTAATTTCTTTATATAATACAGTTTTAAATTTAGKCAAGTCCAATTTGAGAACTTTCAAAAAAGAGAAGCACCTATGAATTCCAAATGATTGTATAAGATTGTACGATTTTTAGTTCAGAAGCACTAAACAAAATTGAGCAACTTAATTTAGACTCTAAAGAGTAAAATAACGATTTAATTGTACTCCTCTTGTCCAATCAGAATCGAGTATATTTATGATAAGCACAATGATTTGTAACCTTTATATGAATATGAAGGGTAATTTTCAGTAGCAAATTTCAAGCTTAATAAGAAAATTACTCTAACCCTGGATGTGGTTTGATGAGTCCTAAAACGATTTTCGTTCATAGTCACCTCCCCTCCCCCTTCATTTTTTCTAAGATGTACAGTACTTTTATAAAACTGCCTTAAAAACCTTCAAAATTTTCGAACTGGAAGGCAATTTGACATCCCCAAATATTCTAATAACTAATACTTCACATTTATTCTTTATTCATTGCATTATTGGCTCAAAAACAGGATTTCGTAAAATGACATTTCGTTAACAAAACAAAAACAAACATGGCTGCCGACAGCGAGTTGAAAATATTCCAATTACTCTCGTTAAACAAGGTTAAGTTTGAAGTTTACCTGCTATGGGCTGGTAATGACGTTCTTCGATATTATCAATGTCATCTTCTACGCTAAAACAGCTCGGGAAGTCGTCCCCGTCGAATTGTTCGTGCTTTGAAAATTCGTTATTGCCGCCATCATGTTCACGTGACGAACAACTAGTTTCTTGAAAGACGCTAAAATTTGACAAAATTGGCTCTTCGTCGACTATTGCTCCTTCTTTATCACTTTTTGAAGCTTTAGGTGGGCTAAGACCTTCGATTTCTCTCTCAGGAGAAAGACGAATTCGTTTTGAACGGAATTTCTTGCTTTCTGCATCCGCCATTTTGGATCGTATGTCGGTATGCAAGGTCCATTATATGGAAGGTATTGAAGGGTCATTATGTGTAAGGGCTCGGATGTATCCACAGGGATACCAAACATTATTTTGTGAAAAAGTGAAAAAGTACAAGACCGATTATTGAAATTCATTGATATTCATTTTATGATACATTGAGAAGGGATGTTAAGATGAAATAATTTACGATCTAGAAAAAATGTATGAAATTGGGAGTGCGAAGACATGTTATCTTTTTGAACTCTGCTTTTGAAAATTTAGGGCTGTCTCCCTAGTGCCATGGGCGTAGCGAGGTCTCTGGAATTCACGGGGGAATAAATAAATAAGTAAATAAGCAAATGGGAGCCGAGATTCGCCTTTTTTACAATCATCTTTTCGCGCGTGAGTGAATGTATTTTTTTTTTTTCCGGTAGTGCCGAGAATTTAGGGATTTGTCATTATTTATCGCCTGGGGGGGGGGGGGGGGGTGATTTTGGTGGGATCAGTTGATTTTTGGGAATACTAAAGGGGGGATCAGTCGTAAACGACAGCTTCAAAAAGGGGGATTACTCAAAATGTGAAGGAATTCATGATTGCGTAACTATAATTCTACAATATTGCCAGGTCGAGATGCTTCCTTATTTATTCACAAACTTTATTTTAAAAAAATAAATAAATAAATAAATTCAATAAGGCCCCGTCCACACGTATCCGGAAATTATTTTTTGCGGATACGAAAATGTTTGCGTCCACACGCAGCGTATTCGAATCGTTTTCACCGTCCACACGTATCCGTTTTCGTAAAATTTCCGGATACGGACACAAAAATTTCCGGACACGTGTGGACGCAACCCGTATCCGCAAATTATTTTTTGCGGATACGAAAATGTTCGCGTCCACACGCAGCGTATTCGAATCGTTTTCACTGTCCTCACGTATCCGGAAATTTCTTGATCCGCCCTGATGCACGCTAGTGCCTAGTCCCTATGGCGGATAGTTTTTCTTATTGAGCATGCGCAAAATCGTGTTTACGTCATCGTATTCGAAAATTTGTGGATACGACCGTCCACACGTATCCGTATTCGGAGCGTATTCGAAAATTTCCATTCTGGAGACCGTTTTCGAAAATTTCCGGATACGGATACAAAAATTTGCGGACACGTGTGGACGCAACCCGTATCCGCAAAAAAAAATTTGCAAATGGCGATACACAACTTTCCGGATAGGTGTGGACGGGGCCTAACTCGCTTAATGTTCTATTTAATTATTCAGTCTTGTAAAATTCTGTTAAAAATTTGGTATGCTGTCTTGACTATTCCATTTTAAAAAATATCAATACAATACCTTTCGTGGTATTTATTTGTCTTTCTTTCTATCTTCTTTCTTTCTTTCATTTGAATATCTATTCTTTTTTAATTTATATAGTAATTTAATTTCTTGGCAGAAGAGTTAAAATTGTTTGAACGTTTTCTATAAGTCAACAATCTGCAAAATAATAAAACATACCCGATTTGTATCATAATTGTAACAGCAACGATGTTTGAAAATTGTTTTTTACAAAGTGCTCACTGGCTTGAAATCTTCTTTCTCTATGGATCATAATTAGTTTCAACAATTGCGATATCTTCGAATTCAGCTCCCTCACATGCATCGGACTCCATAAATTCGTTTGACCCTGCCTCCTCCTCGCTGTCAGCACCTTCTGATTCAATATCGTCGTCGGTTTCAGAACTCTCTTGCATCACCTATTCAGGACCACTTGGCTTTAGTATGGCCACTACTTCTTCTAGGTTCTTTGAAACATCATCGCTGAATATCTCCTTTGCTAATAGCTACAGCAAAGGGTCTAAATGTAAACGGGGGAATCAACAAGGGGGGATCACTGAAAATATCCATAGGTAGGAGAGGGGATTACTACAATGTATTCTGCTGAAGGGGGGGATCTAATAAGTTTCACTGTGTCTGAACAAAAATCCTCCGCACCCACCCCCCCTCCCCCCAGGCG